AATAAAAAGCAGCGTAATAATTTGATTTTAAAAAATCTAGTAATTTAATTTTATATTCAGTAGGTAGTTCTTTATTTTTAATAATACGCATTGCATGTAAATATTGTTGTAATTAGAACAAGGATTTATGCCTTAATTTCAATATAACAATTAATAATTAATGGTGTCAAATTTTTAATATTACGGCAAAAATATTGGTCGTGCAAAAAAATTTTTCAAATGAAAGTTTTGTTCAAAATTCGTTTTCTGATGGTTGATGATAGCAACTTTGACATAAAATTTAATATTTTAGAGTTTCTATTAGTTTAATAATGTAGGATGAAAGGACGAAATATTGACCAGGCAACATAACTTGTATTAAAAAAATTAGAAAAACGGTTGACTCTAAAGGCCATCCCTGCAACTTCCCGCTAATTCCATACTTAAATGTTCAAAATTGCACTTATTACGTTTTTGAGCTCTTCGAGCTCAAAAATGTAATTTTCACGTTATTTTGAGCTCTCCGAGCTCAAAAATCTATTAATTCCATTTTATGTTCAGTAGGTAATTACACAATTTTTAATTATACTTTAAATAAAAATTTGCGTGGATGCACAGAAAAAAAAGTCATCTTGACTCGAGAAAATCATTTTCTTCAAAATTTACTTCTTGTTTCAAGTTCTTGTTTATTCTTGAACTAATAATGTCATATACTTATCCCAAGTAAATCTTTCTCTTGGTTTGGAAAGTAGCGCCAACGTTGGTGACGTGATTTTTTGGAACTAAACCGAGATTTTTTTTAATAAAGAATTAAATTTAAAAAAATAACCTTATGCATGATTTTTATTTTTTGTGTTCATTTAATTAGACATTTTTGATTAATTTTTAACTTGCTGATTTCCCATTATATTACTGATTTAGAGTTAAGTGTGTAGTGACGAAAATATTTGTATATACAAGTATTTGCTCGACTCATACAAAGTACACGGTTAGGAATTTGTTGCGTTAATAACTCAATAACTATAAGTGATATCGACAATCAGAAAAAAGATCCTTAAAGAGGAGGAAATTTCTGAAAAAAAGTCTTGACTCCCGGAACTCTAGCTCCACAAATAATAATTTTTATTTAATGTTGAAAATGGGTTTCCGCGCGGCTGCTGTCCCACTCGGGCCTCGATGCGCCCGTGTGTACTTCAAGCAAGTTCAAAAACCAAGAGAATGATTTACTTGGATTAAGAGGTTTTTTTCTTCACTTAAGTTGGTACGCATGTTGGAACTAGGGAATATTTGCTTAAACCAAGATTGACCAAAACAAGAAAAAAATTTACTTAACTCAAGAATATATTTTATCTTCAGTTGAATATACTTGGATCAAATAAATATTACTTGACTCAAGATGACTTTTTTTTCTGTGTGTAAGTATACTTATAATTAGAACAGAGATTTATGCCTTAATTTCTAAATAACAATTAATAATTAACGATGTCAAATTTTTGATATTACGGCGGAAATATTGGTCGTATAAAAAAATTTTTTGAGTAAAAATTGTCAAAAATTTGATTTTGTAAGAAAAATTTCTCTTATAAATTTTTCTCAAGACTAACAAATAACCAAGTCATTATTTTAAAATTGAGATTTTATAATGACCAAAAATTTGAATCATTTATTATATGAATCTTAATTGAGGAATTACAGTGAAAATAATGGTCGTAAGATTATAAGAGACATTTCTAAGAAAAAATTAAATTTTCAAAAACTTTTTTATAAAAATTTTGTTTACAAGTCTAATATTTTCGGGAAAAATCTTGGGGCCCAGTTATAATAAGAAAAAAAGAAGTTTAGGTACAAATGTTAGAAAGTTGTGTAAATTAGTCATTAGAACTAAAACTCGCCGTGTTTGCTACATTTATGTTCAATTTATATAAAATTGAATACTTCATAATGAATATATACGTATTTGTCAAAAAAATTGAATATCAAAGATTAATTATCAATTATTTTTGATAGAAAAATCATGTTAATAATTTAAATAGTACTCTGGTCGAAAATTGGTGTTGTAAATTATCCAATGTACCTAATATGAGTATGGCTTCGGTCATTGATTTAATTATGAGTACTGAAGATAATATTGTATCAGAATACCGAGCAACTAACAACAATACTTTAATTATTAACATGTCAGTGAATAGATTAGCTAATGTTCAAACTATTATAGATTAAAAATGAAAGTTATTTATCAGTCTAGTAAGCATAATACTACTGGTCAGTATTTGGAACATATGCGTTCAATATTCAGTAAGTAATTTTCAATATTCAGAGCAATTGGCTGTAACGTTAATTATTATAATTAAATGTTTATTATTATGTATTTTATAAACAAAAGTGTTATAGCTTGTAAGTTAAAGCTTAAAAAAAGGAAAACACTCGTTTCAGCTCATAAATTTTTTTAACAAAATTACAAATAATGTATTTATGTTCATTTTATCTAAACTGGTCAATATTTGGAGACTTTACCCTACAAGGAGAAAAACTCTTGCAAAAAAAAATTTCTTTTAACTTCATTCAAAACGATCAAATTCTTAATTTCTAAATTAGACAATCTAATCCAGTTTTTATGCAACAATCCTTGGAAATTCATCAATCGCTAATATTCTTAGTCTTTCTTCAAACATCAGTGACTAGTTTACAACCAATATTTTTGTGTTCCTAATCGCTTTTCACGTATATTTTTGCATTATAGTTTTTTCAATTCCGCCGCGTTGAAGCTGATCGTAAAAAATTAAATCTTTATCATTAAAATTCGAGTTTGATCCACCATTTTGTAAAAAAAATACCATAAAATTAAAATTGTTTTACATTATCTTCATCAATACCATCATATATATTCATTATCTTTTAATCAAGTTGTACAAAATCAACATAACTCCTATTTGCTAATTCATAAATGTCAATCTTGATTTTAAAATTTCTACTAAAAAGACAGTTGACAAATAAATTCGATAAAACTAGGCAATTAATTCATAGATGTAATCGCAAGTATCCGTATCATTACAATAATAATAACAATAATAATACAGATGGACGGATTTCAGTTATGAATATTCAATGCAATTCACACGGCGTACATTTTGACCTCCATCCCGTTTCTTCTCTATCCCCGTCTCATTATTCATGCCGATGCTCTCTGATTCGATTTAATCACCAGCTTCATCGTAATCGGAAAATATATTATTATACAAAAAAAAACCGGTTAATTAACGGATCCATTTATTCAATGAATAAATGATATATTTTAATTACCAGATAAATTACTCCCCTGTACACACACACATGTATATTTTATTTTATTGTGCTCAATATACCTATTTGCACGTGTGCTGAATATAAAATAGTCTGTTAGCTCAATAATTCTATAATTTTACGATATTTTTAGTGACTTGATACTTGAAACATGAGACAATTGGTGAACAAGTTGAACAAGTTACTGGAGGCCACGACAAACTTATCTTATAGTTTATAAGAATTCTCAAAGCTTTTATTTTTATTCTTTCAGTTAAAGTTTTACTCTTTACCCACTGGGTTTATAGTTTTCTAACTTTACCCTTTTTTATTTCGTTTTATATAAAAAAGCCGAGACTATTTTAAAGTACTTAGTACTTCGTTTCGTAAAATAAATTACTATTTCTTCTTAAAACTCCTCAACAGCGTAAAAATTACACAGGTTTCAAATCTTACTAATTATTAAATTTATCAAACTCTTAATGAAACAATTAAAAAATTTTATTAAAATGCTTCGTAAGTTTTATTTAATTAAATAAGTACATTGATTTGTAAAAAACTTATGTAATTATAGTACAAAAGTCTCCAAATTTCTCTTCTGACCTCTGGCGTTTATCTTTTTCTCCGCCCCTTAGCAACGTAGCTAATAACAACTACCTAGCAGCTATAACCACGCCCCTAATAATATTAGTCACGCCCAAACTACCGATGCTTAGCAACCTAAGACACGCCCTTAGTAAAGATTACATAAATACCCCTTAGCAACGGTATATACGCCCCTAGTAACAGTAACCACGCCTCTTAGTAACAGTTGCTAGGAAATGTAAATAGGGACGTTACTAAGGTTGCTAAGCAAATTTAGCCACGCCTCCTAGTGAACCGTTGCTAAGGAATTATTACTAGAGGTGTTACTGAGGTTATTTAACATTCTTAACCACGCCTCCCCAAATACCGATGCCTTGCACCATAAGACACGTGCTTAGCAACGATTACATAGATGCACCTCCTAACAACACTGGATACGCCCCCTAGTAACAGTTGTTAGTGAAAGACATCACGCCCCTTAGTAACAGTTGCTTAGAAATGGTAAGAAAGGGCGTTACTAAGGTTGCTAAGTAAATTTATTCACGCCCTTAGTAACAGTTGCTTAGGAATTCTAAGGAGGGGTGTTACTAAGGTTGCTAAGCAAATTTAGCCACGCCCTTAGTAAAATTTGCTGAACAATTTCAGCTACACCGATCATTATTATTGCTAGCAACACTAACCACGCCCCTTATTGATAACCACGCCCCCAATCAACAGTTGCTAAGGAATTTCGATTGGAAATATCAATGTGGTTACTAAGTAATCTCGGTCTCGCCCATAGTTACGGTTGCGTAGCTACAATAACCACGCCTCTTAGTCAAAGTTACTAGGAAATTGTAAATAGGAGCGTTACTAAGGTTGCTAAGCAAATTTAGCCACGCCCTTAGTAACCTTTGCTGAACAATCTTAGCTACACCGATAGTAATTGTTGCTTTGCAACACTAATCAAGCATTTTAATGCCACTAATCACGCCCCTTAAAGTACTAACCACGCCCCTAGTGAGCAGTTGCTAAGGAATTTATGCTAGAGGTGTAACTGAGGTTACTAAGCAGACTTGGTCCCACTCATAGTAACGGTTGCGTAGCAATACTAACCACGCCTCCTTGAAATCTGATTTATAGTTACTTAGCAACCTAAGTCACGCCTTTCATCACCTTAGCAACATTAGCCACGCTCCGGCAACAGTTGCGAAGAAACCTTGGCAACGCCTCCTAATTATGATTCCTTAGCAACGTTAACCACGCCCCTAGCAATGATTGCTTAGCAACGAAGCTTTACAAATCGCACATGACATTTCATAATCGTTATTAATTTTTTTGTTTTAGGACACCACAGAATCATTCACGTTCTCCACAACTCAGAACAACCTGCGTCAGTATTTGCAACCCTGGAGTCAAACAACAAAACAGTTTCCTTGATAGCCGACGGGTTGTTTGATCTGTTGATGATGAAGCTGAGCAACATCTACGAGGTGAAGAAGCACATAAAGATCGAATCCAAGGGTCCCAGGTTCGAAGTCGGGGACTTTTGCGTGAAATTGGGCAGCGTGACCATGACCCAGAATTTTAAGGGCATCCTCGTGGAAGTATGTGCTCGTCATTGGCATTATAACTTAATAACTATCAACTTGTACTCTACTTCCCTTTACCTAGATCTAGACCGCTCAATTATTCATAAAGTGTTCTTATGCCGGATAATTAATCGAATCGATCGAACTAGATCCGAATAAACTTAAACTTGCTCGTTATAACTTACAACGTGTAATTTCCGTTTCGTGATTTTCAGGTCGAGTACAGACCCTGCGTTGTACCTGCCATGGCCTGGGATCTCATTAGGGAATTCTTGCAGGGCTACCTTGGGTGCACCATCAGCAATCAAGCGCCCCAATTCTTGCAGGTACTTTTTGATATAATATAACGCAATTTAATGCTTCTTTTTAGGTTGCTTTCTTCTCTGATTAATGATTATGTTACGTTCTAGTCACGGATGAATGACATTTATCAGCCCACGGATACCATTGCTCAATATCTCGAGCACTTTGGACAGTACCGAAAAGCTACTGGAGTCATCTAACAATATAAAGTCTTGCAAATTTTGTACTTGGAATTAAGAATAAAAATTTGAATATTGAAACAAAAAAAGTTATTAAAAGGCAATTATGTCCGAAAATTTCTTTTTTATTATATTTTTGCAAATAACGATATGAGACCGACTATAACAAATAGATATTCAAAGACATCTACACTGAAAAAAAAGTTTTTTTCCACCCAGAATACAAAGTATTTTTATGCAAGTTTTTTTATATCCAATATACGTTTTCTTGATATAAAAAAACTGGTATTTTTCTCCTGAGAATACCTAATTTTTTTCTGGAGCTAAAACTTTATACTGCGTTACCATAGCAACCGCAGCGGTGGAGCCGCCAATTCTCTGACTTCCCTCCAATTTCACAGTCCTGGCGTGTTTGTTTAGATCATAGGAAAGTTGTATATACTAATTTATTGTTTATTTTTATTAATTTTCACATGTGGAATTTTTTAATTAAATTTTTTTTTATAATAATTTAATTGCCATAAAATTTAAAAAAAATTTTTAATGTCTGTCAACTTCAGTGTCATTCTTAAATTTAATTATTATAATTTTACTTATGTAATTTTCTTAAATTTAATTATAATTGATAAATTAATAATTATTAATTTATTAATTATAATAAAAAAGATCCACCGTATCATAAACATTTCGTATGCATCTGTGTCAAATGAATGACATTAAAGTTAGCAGTCACTTAACATTTTTTTAATTTTATTTAACGAAAAAATTTGTCCCGAAAAATCATTTTTAAAAAATTGCATTTTTTAGTTTTAAAAATTTTCAAATGTCAATTTATTTTTATAATTTTTTTGCCATAATTTATTTGTTATAGAATTTAACAAATTATTAAATATATGCTAAGTTAAATGACATGTCAAATGAGGTTAAGTCGGCCATATTTTTATTTTGGTATTTTGCTGAGAAGGAAACCGAGTTTTTTAAAAATCACCATACTTATTAGTGTAGGAAAAAAACTTTGGTATTCTCCACACAGGTATACCAGTTTCTTTACTGGAGGGAAAAATTTCCTAGGTGGAAAAAAACTTTTTTTTCAGTGTACCAAAAAAATAGGATTTGTAACAGATGAAAAAGTCGTTTGATGATAAAAGCTAAAAATTAATTTATTCTTGATTTTTTTTTAATATTCCTGACTACGGAATAAATTGAAAAAAGTGTCAGAAGTTGACGAATAATAGGTTAAATTAAATATAATCATAAAAACTAGACGAATAATAGCTTAAATTGAAGGTAATTAAATGAAGTTTGAGAAAAATTTAGTAGATTTCATCTATTCTTTTACATCTAGAAAATTATTTCCATAAAATATATAAAGTTCAAAAATTATTAAAAATAAAAAAAAATTTACGAATACCCACAACTCATAAACTAACCGGCCGATTATGCTCATTTTCAAACCTAATCTTAGTATTGATTCATAAAATGAGCTTACAAAATTTCATAAAGATCGGTTGAGAATTGTGGGTGCAATCCTGCTGACATGGCGCGTTACATCACACATGCTAGCTGTTATTCGCGGGCGGTTTATATATAGAATTGCATTTTAGATCTAGGCTTAAAATTTAATTAGAGTATTGTTTTAACTTGCACAGATTCCCAATTCCATCGAATTGGCATGCACCTTTTGTTCATGTAATTATTCTAGCTAATATTCATTGTAACTTTCAATGTGCAATCATTATCACATTTTTATAATCATTTTATCATTTTATTATCACATTATTATAATTTTATAGTAATAGTTCCCATAATATTAGAGGAATTTTTGCTATACTATTATGGGAATACTTGCTAAATGATGATGGTAATATTTCCTATATTATGATCGGAATAATATTCATAATATTATGAAAATGGTTTCTATACCATTATGGGAATGATTCCCATAATTTATAGCAATGAGTCCTATAATATTTAGGATAGGAATAGTTGCAAAGTATATATAGAAATTATCCCTACAAACTATGGAAATAATTCCTGTAAATATAGAAACCCCTCCCATAATTCATATGAGAACTATTTTCATAAATTATTGGCAACGATCTTATATATTCTGAAAACACTTCCTAATATTATGGGCGTAATTCCCATAATTATAGTTTTCATTCCTATAATCAGTATAGGGAATAATCCCATAAATTTATAGGAAAAATAGCTATATTTTTTTTCCGTGTATAGAGCGCCCAGTAGAGCGGGCGAGTAACAGCCAATCGGAACGCTTTCTAGGACCTCCTATTCGCTGGGTGCGTGACCCCACCGCCACCTAACGATACAACTTACGGTGGCTTTTTAAAGAAAATTTACATGTATTAGATGCCAAATAGTTATTTAAACAATTAAATAAACTTGAAAAAAATTTTTTTCGATGTAAAATGTGACATATTACACAGAATGTAGATTAAATTAAAAATTTTTTCTTGGGTCTGTTGGAAATAGTAATAAGGAAAATAAACACAATAACTAAAACAAATCTCAAGTGAATTAGGTTATAATGAGTGTTAAAATCTGTCGAGGTGTTTATTGTTAAATTAATATTAAATGAAAAATCAGTATTAATATTAAATATATAATAATCTGAAATTATATAAAAAATAACTAATAGCTATTTAACATAATTTAACATATATTTACGAATGTATTTTAAATTTTTATTTTCTTTATTTAATTTTGCAATTTATTACCCATAATATTATTTTTCAACCACAAACTTTAATAAAGGATAAAAATTTAGTCCTGGCTGAACATATGAGAGATGTTGAGCAGCAGCTGTCCATTTTTTTCACTGATTTAATTTCCAATTGGCAACCGGAAACTTATAAAATTTACAATTACTATTTCTACTAGTATTTTTACAATCAACTACACAACAATTTTGATGACCCATTATATTTTATTTAGTTAATTAATTAAACTAACACACGTGTTATTTTCATAGCTTTTAGTAATAAAGAGCCACCCTTAGTTCTGTGTTGTCCACAGCGGACGCTGATATCAGTTTTGTGTTCCCCACTATGCCTTACGCACCCAGCGAATAATCGGACTCAAAAAACTTGCTATTTCTGAGACAAACAAGACCAATCAACTGCCGCAATATGTCGCCAAATTTCTCGAGAAACTTCCCTGATAGCCACCTTACCTATAACTTACTGTCAATCTACGTCCGCAATTTGAAGCAAACTTGATGGAAAGACTTGGCAAAGCGAGCGATTACCTATTAGTTACCTATAACTTACTCTGCAAATAGACGTCAAAACTTGCTGTACAAGTATTTCCGTCAAATTGTAGTAAAGTTGAAAGGGAATTTAACTACAAGTTTGATTGTTAACTTGTATTCAAGTTGCGGCTATAGATTTCCGTCAATTTGCTTACAACTGTTGTTGAATGAAGAATTACCGCCAACTTGATGGATAAATTAACCGTAACTGTTGAAAGTCAACACTTACTGAGAAAGCGCTGGCTATCAGGGTTGTCGTCAACTTGGTGCGAAAGAGTTTCGAAAGCAATTTCTGCCGACAACTTGGTGAACAACCGAGTTCATTTCCAAGACTTGCCGCCAACTTGGTGACAAGTTGCTGCAGCAAATCAACGGAAAGTTTCGACCGGTTTGGCTATCAGGGTTGCTATTTAAAATCATCCTCATAGCAGAAATCAAAATTTCCTTCAGTAGATGAAACAGCCCAGCCAATTCCAGAACAAGTAGGCTTCCACAATCCCATCATCCGTTCCTTACACACTTTGTATCCCCAGCAGGACTCTCCTCTTGCGACCTCCAGCTCAGTGGCCCTTTTTCCCCAGAGATGTCGCTGGCGGTGCCAAGCGTAAGCTCGAATCTTTAAAATGGCGTTATCTGTTGCAGTCCCGGATGTTTTTTCTCGCGACAGGCCGGGGGCTCGCTTTGATCTTGAGAAAATTTCGTTAGTTTAGTCCTATCGTAGTCGCTCCTCGGTAGTCCCTCCCAGTGCGCTATCGATTACCATTCGTAAACAAATAGTGCCAGTTAGCTGTTCGGTAGCTCGGAAACTCAATTATTAAGGACTTGAATTGAAAAAATAAAATACTCACTAGCACTGGATACCCTTAAAGGTAAGAACTCTGACATTGGGACGCTGAGGCGCTACACAACTTTACATTACAGTACTATACACTCTACTCCGTGACCATATTTGGTCACCGCAATCCCGTCAAAATAAATAAGCGGGTCAATTTAACTCGTCTGTAGCCTGAGCGCAACTCTCGGAGCCGGCCTCCAGATCCTTAGGTGTAAAAACATCCTTAATTTATTTTTATCCTGAAATTCGCGAGCGGGTTTGATGATTCGAGACTCGTTTGTTGTCTGCGAGGATCAGAATAGTTAAAAATAAATAAATAATGCGAGAAGACAAATCGGTGAGACCGGAAGCAAGACCGGATACCTCCCGATGCACGTGATCGAAATAATTTAGTTTGTCTTGTTTATGTGAATGTTAACTCGCCTTTTTTTATGGACGCTCGGAGATGAGAAGATACTAAGAGATAGAGACTGAAAAATCCTTTGTACGTGATTTTATTTTTTTCGTCCTTATATATTGTTGAGTTAAACATTTTTTATTGATTTTGGCTCTACGGAGTTTAGGTTTTATTTTAATTGAATTTAAAATCAAAGTGAATTTTTTATTTGAAAATTGCAAAAATTTATTTTGATATTTTTAAAATTTGCATTTAATTTTTTTTTAAATTGAATTTTTGAACAAACAGAAGTACAAAAAAATTGATAAGGAACTTTTTGATAGATAATTTAATTTTCTCAAAAAAATATTTTGTAAATTTTTAATATTTGAGCCTGAATTTTTGTTTTTAAATTTAGATATTTAGAAATTTTTAAATTTTTATAAAAAAAAAATTTTAATATTTAAAATAAAATTACATCAATATTTTTTTAAAAACATTGACGATTTTTTAAAAATCGGGAAATTATTGTTTTTTTT